TAATAATTCATCAAGTTTAAACAAAGGAAATCATGACTGTGACGGTGTTTGGATATCTGATCTTAATTAGTATAGATTTTTACGATTTTAACTCTCCGTTTCCTCCTTAGTTTTAGTTTCGATTGAGAAGATAAATCAAACACTCAAGACGGTGTTTGACCACATTTCCAAACATCTGGAAGCTCGTCAAAAATTCTCCGCTACGCGTCGAATATTCAACTCTCTTCTCGGTGTTTGGAAATGTGGTCAAACACCGTCTTGAGTGTTTGTATACTACCTGATAAATATCCTTAACTCACCTCCATTTACTACGAAGGTTCAATGTGATTTCCGAAGCGAAAGCAAAAGAGCAAGCCGAAAAACCAAGAAACAGCAGAAAACAACTGATCTGTAACTTTTTCATTTTGCTTTCCTAAGAACAGCAGGAAGCAATTTTTCATTCCTTCTTGAGTGCAGCTTTCTCCTGTAACAGCATCAGTATTGCTGATGAGCTATGTCACAAACGAATGTTACGAATTAATTTGCTGATAATCGCTGTTAATTAATTCATCACTTATATAGTGCGCACGCGACCAATTAGCGCCTAAGAATATCTGTGATCTATTTACCCGTTCTTCTGACGTCCATTTATATAACACCAGATTTTCTGATGTTGGTAACTTATATGTTAATAAATCAAGACTGAGTATTCGACTTAACTCTTTCTCCATTTTTGGAGCCAAGTAATGGAATTGCTTGAATCCTGAATTGCGTAAACTTAGAAAGAAACCTTTCAAAAACAAAATTCACCAATTTTTATTTGCAGTGCTTGGTGATGAGGATGATTATGTTGAAGTCTCGACGCTTATCTCAAAAATTACTCATTAGCATTGATCAAACTCTAGGTATTAGTACGCTGGACGAAACTGTTCTGGGTTGACTTTTTACAACAAAAAATCAAAAGAAACAAAGTGACACAAATAATTTTGTGATTTTTTTCAACTTTATTAAATGCCACACATAGAAACTTATTTTTATATGGCTCACACAAGAGAGGCTTGTGTTACACCTTGTCGAAATTTGGTAACTGAGTTCACAAAAGCATGCAAAATCACATGATTTCTCAGAGAGGAGATTTTACATTTGGAGTGGTGTTTTGCGAAGAAACTCTTTACGGGCTGGTGGATGTTTTTGTCAAGATTTTGACCAGAAAGCGCGAGAAAGACTTACAACTTATTTGACTACTGAAATACGAGAATGTCTTCAGAAACTGATCTTCTTTGAAGTCTTTAAACTGTTCTTGCCACTAAATCGGTCTACCGCTTGTTTTGAAAATGGCTGCCTTTAGCTCGCGCTTCGTACAAGCCACAATTGCACAAGATACTGCTCTGTTAAAGCGCTGTCGGCCAAGAACCTCAGACAATGTTATTTGCCCTTTTAGGAAAGTTTCCGAACCTGTTTCTGGACTCATATGCCAGTGGCTTGCCATTTTCTTCCATTTTCTTGCATAACACATGGCTTGAAATAACTTTGTTTGGTTTGCCTTGTGGCCTTTC